CTTGGAAGTTCAAACCTTTATTTCGAGTGAACATCATTCACACCTGTTTTTGTCCAATTTATGACTCAAAAAGATCACACTTGTAACATGCTCATATTTGCAAAATTGTGGCTCAATGAGTAAGACACTGAGCTTGTCGATCAGACGTTTGGCAGTTCAGCAGTTCGAATCCCTACCTCCACGTAACGGTGTGAGTAGTTCAAAAGCACATAAAAATACAAGTAGAAAAATAGGGATCACTTTGGTGGGAAAATAACAACGCTCCATGTGCCTTTGGCATTTAGTCATGCTGGCCACATGACCACAGAGCGTCTTCGGACAGCGCTGGGTCTTCTGCTTAGAAATGGAAATGAGCACCCAAGGCCGGAAACGACTAGCATGCATGTGTGGGGGAACCTTTACCTTTACATTACCACCAATCCTCCTGTATAAATATTACTTTTTGATGTCTAAAGCTACCTGAAGCTACTGCAGATAGAGACAGAAACACAGATTTAGCAAAATAATGGCCTGATACATTGGAGATCAGGCTGCTTTGCATACATTCTAGTGCAAACTCAATATTTCCGATAACAGCAAATGCCATGTTTATGTATGGATTATCACATTTTGACAAATTTTGTAAATCTTGTATATGAAAGAAATTTAAATTTAACATTTCTAAAGGGAACATCGTGGCTTTTAATTTAATTTTTTGTTTTTATTTTAATCTAATATCCTTCCTGCTTTCTTTTCTATCCAGCCTGACGATATCTACACAATTCAAAGGGTTATTCACTATTCTGAATATTTTACTTGAGTCATTGCAGAAACTGTCCTGAGAGAACACTGCATTTCAAAACAGACACCTATTATGGTGTCGTTGTGTGGACAACTTTGTCATCATCAAAAGAAATGCACTGAAAGGCTTCCATACCCCACTGAACTCCATCTTCCCACACAGACAATTCACAACAGAGGAAGAAACAGCCAGACAATTGCCACTTTTAGATGTCCTTCTCCATCGGCAGGAAGATGGAAGCCTAGAAACCACAGTTTATAGGAAGACCACCAACAGTCCATGCATTCTCAGTTTCAACAATAATCAGCCACTGTCAAACAAAAAGAGCTGTATCAAAACACTATATGGCAGAATGAGAACCTACTGTAGTACTGAGCAAGCTAAACTACTAGAGAGAAGGTACTTACATGAACAATTCAACCATAATGTGTACCCACAAGCATTTATTACAACAATGAAAAGGAGAGAAAAGAAAACAGAAGAAAAGGTTAAAGACCAACTACACCCTGCCATACATTTCAGAAGCAGTGGAATGCAGCTTCCAAGATCTGCAAGTGGGCATCACACACTGCCAAGAGGCTACCCCATGAGGACAATTATGTACTGTAAAGATTGCTTAGATCTATTGGATCCTCTGCACAGATTGTCCCTGCAACTATGCAGGACAAATGGGGGAAAAGCTAACCACCAGATTGCAAAAACAGACTTGAGCTGTTGGACGAGGAAACCCAAACTCATTGGTAACCTCACATTGCAATGAACCAGGATACACATTTAATTTTGTTAAAATCATTAGCCATACAAGTACAAAGATAGCCAGGAAAATTATTTAAGCATGGGAAATGGGTCCCTTGTCAATTGACAGGAGTGCTGATTGGCAACACAAGGAAACAACAGCCAATATTCAACCATCAACACACCAATCAGTCAATAAAAAGGCACCACATAAACACAACTCAGAGAATTGCCCATATTCCAATAGAGAGAGGCTCCCTGAAGAGAGGCTCCAGCATGAGTCTGAAAGCTCGGAAGACCAAATCTCTGGTCCTAGTGACAGACCCAGATTCAACCTTGCATCATTCTCCTGGGATATATATATATATATATATTTGCCTTCATTTGTAAAGGTATTACCTTATAAAAATGCATTACCCTATTCTTTCAAGACTTTGTGTTCACTACTTGGATCACTTTGCCTGAATGCTGAAAAATTAATCCCAATCTAGTTTTTCCTTCCTTTCTTAGGCATGCATAAAGATTGGAAGAAATATCTTTCATCAACCCTGTACACTCTTCATGTAATATCTGTTGCTATAATTTGAACAAGTGTTGACACAAACTTTTCAAGCAATAACAATACAAATCATACCACCAACCTATGATTTTTCCCTCTCTTTTCTTCTTAAACATTTACTTAATAAGAGGCTGAAAAAACAAATATTACCTAGTAATTTTAATGCCTCTTTATATAAAATGGTAAATGTGTATATTCACTGTGAATGTCACAGCTTCTTTATGGTCACATGCAGAGGTATTTATTAAAGTATACACTTTATTGCTAAAGAAGCTAAAATGATACACATATAATCCAGACCAAAAGAACTTTTAAAACATTGTCTTTACAAAATGTCTGGAAGTTTGTGTATATCAGGACATAATTGTAAAATAAATCTACCACTGAACTCATATAGAATAAAAACAGTTTCAATATGAAGCTGTCTGATAACACAGTTCAGCTTTTTACATGCTAAATATTTTCAGCAGCTGTACATTAATATAAGGATGATGTGATGTTGCCTGTGAAACATAGTTAATAATTTAAAATTATTATTTTTTGATAGTTAATAATTTCTGATAGTTAATAATTAAAAAATATTGATTATAATTGTATTCCTTAATTAGTTATAACAATGGTACAAAAGCATGCAGAATAATTCTAAGTATGTTAAGAACAATAGTTTAAAAAATAACAAAAATCTATAGTCGAAATCAATGTCATTAGATAATGGTGATATATACTATCTCAGGCCCAGTATTGTTTTAATTCAGTGGTAATAAAATCATTACAAAGAGTAATCAGCTGTGTCATATTAGATTGGTACTTCTGTCTATTCCAGCAGCATATATAAAAGCAGAAAAGAACTTAGATGGCAATATTAAGATTTTTCCCCTTTGATACTCATGTATAAAGAACAGTGTCTTATATCTGAAGTTAAAATGAGGCTAACTGAATCGTCAGTCTCCATTTTCACTTGTTCCTATACTCGACACATTTTTCTATTCCTAATACCAACATTAGAAGTGAACATGCCCAAAGGAAAAAGAATGTCCACTTTTCATTTTTAAAATGTCAGCCCAGCATATATTTCATCATTAGAATTACATTATCCTGGATAAAAGATAAAAGTTTATTATACATAAAGGAAACAATAGCAGCCTATCATAATCAGCTCAATTATAATTATTGGCCTAGCTAGTCTTTCACACTTCCATTTACTTTAATGGGGCATGCTCAGAAAATGCATAGTGGATTTCCCCTTAAATTCTTAAAGAAAAAGACTGCAGTTTATATCATGGAGAGCACAATATTAGCAAAATTGTATGCATTTGTCAAATCAAAGTATGTGCTCTAATTAACAACTTAAACCCATAAACACAAGAACATATATTACACGTATCTGAAAAAGTAACATTTGTATATATTAATGCTACGTTCCTATTCCAAAAATGATATTGGTAAACATGAAATGTCACAGGAGTTGCTAAATGATATTTAATTCTGTAGAGGAATTTTGCAAATGTCTTTGTAATAGAAAATTAAGTTTCATTACTAGTCTGTTAAAATAAAACACCCAAATTTAACTTTGGTTTATAGATACAGGCCTCCTGATGCATCTTTGTCCACAGGGAGTTGCCTCATTCATTACAACAATGAAGCTGATTGATATCTGCATATCAGATCACATGCACATATCCCTGAATAAAGTAGGCAAAACCTTTTGGCATCCTTCCAGTTTTACTCTACTGCTCAATCATGGGAAGGGTTTCTTTCCAAAATGTCCTATTAGCTACTCAAGTGCTAAAGAGGGGTACTATATGTATATTAAGCATCAGGCAACAACAATGGCTATTTCCAGCCCAATGGTACTGGGCAAGCTGAATGTCTAGATTCGTTAACACATAGGAGAGCTCATGCAGTTGGCAGATTTTATCATAATTTTCACAATTTGCAATTCTTTATAGTCTCTATAGTCTCATTGCACTTTTGATGAAAGAAAAACTTGACTTAAGTATTTTGGATGAGAGCTTGAGCTTGCTGTTTTCTTTTTCTTCTTTTTGCTGTGCTTCTTGTGTTTCTTTCGCTTTTTTGTTTTATCCTTTAAAAAGGGAAATATCAAAAGACAATTGTTATATACTGAAACTACCTGATTCCAATTCACGTTTTGTCTCTCCACAAGCATTTTCAAGGAAAGAATTAATTAATGCCACCGAATATCATAATAAGCCTACCTAAATTAATAACAACAAATACCACTCTGCTAGAAGATTTACAGAAGGCATTGTCCACGGATTTATCTCTAGTTGTTTTTTTTTCCACATATAACATTTTAACTTTAATTCCTCATATCACATTTCATTAATCAGAAAAAAATCCAAGAAACTTAATTCATAATTTGTTGCCAAGTGATATTAGCAAGATTATATTAAATAATCTAATTTGATTTAATTCATTTTATCTCTTATTACCTGCTTTGTACTATTGTATTCAAGAAAAAATAATCTTTTTTAATCTCTAGAATCAATCATTTAAATTTAATACTCTAGTGCTCATTATTTATTTATTAGATTTCTATGCCATATTTCCGTCAAGCATTCCAGCCACTGTACTTCTGCAGTCCTCCTATTTTCTGACTAGTATATTTACTCTAAGGAGGATTAAGTATTTATCTATATATTGTGTGCATTATGTAATAGTTGAAAATCAGTCAATTATTGATATAGTAAAATTACAAGAAACTAGAGCAATTGAAATAGGGAGGTTTGCCCCAGCATATATATTGTTGTTGTTGTTAGTTACAAAATCGTATCCAACCCATCACGACCCTATGGACAAAGTTCCTTCAGGCCTTCCTGTCCTCTATCATCCTCCGGAGTCCATTTAATCTCATGCCGACTGTTTCAATGACTCCATCCAGCCACTTCATTCTCTGTCGTCATATCAGCATATATATATATATAGTACATGCTGATATAATATTTGGAGTTTAACGTTCTTAGACAGATAAAATAAACTTACATTTTTCTCTTTTTCTTCACTGTTTTTCTTCTTTTTTGCTTGTACCTTGTGAAGAAGCAGAATGACAGAATACACATTTTACAAAAAAGCTGAAAAACTGCAATAGCAATCACAATAGAAATGCTGCTTAATAATAATATGGAAAACTAGGACTACTTCCCCAATAGCTATTTTGTACTATCTGGCAATTTCCTGTTTTTTAATTCTGCTGCCATGCCTAAAATTTTCAGGAACATCACAGCTGACATTTTGGAGTTCTACAGTGTAAAAAGAACTACGTAAGAAAGATATTTGGTTGAGTTTCTTAATTCATAACATCTGAAGCAGCACATATGGGAAAAGTGAACAAATATTTCCGCAAATGTGTATGAATGGAGAACTTGGTGAACATTTTTAAATTGTGTAAATGCTTTGCTTTATATTTGGACTGACCTCCTCTGTTTCAATCGATTCCAATGAAGAATCTGATGGCAATAATTCTTCCATATGATCTGCTTTTATTCTTTTCCTAACAAGACTTTTGGAATCCTATGTAAGATAAAATATTTTGTTATGGTCACCTTTGAAAAGTCACATTTTCTGTGATAAGAATAGGACCAGCCCCTCTTTCTTCAACTTTCTCGTTCTTCGCCATTGACAGGTCTTGTTATCTGCTCTTTTTTTTAATGTACTGACTATATAATACTTTGAAGACTAGAAAAGAATCACAGCAAGTATTACATGGCCAGCACACACACATATGCCCACGTGCATATGTGCATATGAGAGAGGGACTGGAGGAAGGGAGGGAGGGAGAGAAACACAGAAAGTAGGCAATTGGGTGCCATATCAAAAAGCCTTGGATGACACTTAGAAAATCTGCCACATTAACAACATTTTCATCCGCTAATTATATAAGACCACATTGCTTGGATCTGGATGTACACTATGTTGATACATTGTGACAACCTAGGTTCTTGAAAAGAAGTTGATTCAAATGAAGGCCAACACCAACTAAAGAACTGGCAGCTATGATTTCACCTTGTTATTTAAGAACCAAATCAAAAATTGCTGATTTTGTGACCAGCTATAATAATAAAAATATACTTTACATTAAAGCAAAAAATACTTAGAGGTCAACTGATATAATGGATGTGAAGATTTTGGAATTCATTTTTGAAACAACTAGCAATTTTAATGCTAAACAGCTGTTAATTTCAGAGCTTTTTTACAATTAGGTGATTAGGAACTTTCATTATTCTATAATTAAACATTATTTTCAAGGAATTTTGAAAAGTACTATGAAACTGTTTTACCTTATCTCTTTCATAATCTTCCTTTGTCCGTTTAGTTCTTAAACTATCCTAAATAATAAAAAATTAGTTATGTTTAAAAAAACAGCATTAATGACTGTACACTTAAATTTGCTTCTGTATAAGGAAATAGTGCAGAAGTAATGGCATTCTGGAAATGAAACAATCCAAACAGTTTCAGTAAAAAAATAAAACATATATGTATTATTGTTGCAATATAGCAAGTAGAGCAAACATTGCACCAGTTTAGAACAAAGAACAGACAGGTCCAAATTTCATTCATATTCCACATATGTATTTCTGCTACTAGTGAACTCTAATCAATGTAAAAGTTTCATTCATAAATTAGGTAAGGATATTATTTTTTTTTACTTTACCTTGCTATCTGAATCAGAGTCTGAACTAGAGCTTTCAGATGACTTCTGTAAAGAGTGATATTTTTTTTTCTTTCTCTTTTTTCCTTGTTTCTTATCCTAATCATGAATATGATAAGAATATTATTAGATTTTGCTCAGATTAAATCATTTCAGATATAAAGCATAAATGTATTTTCTTAACGACTAATCACATGAATAACTGAATTTTATGTTGTCCTTCCCATATCTATATTTTCAGGATAGATAGTATTTATGTTTAATTTCTTTGTTTAATAATTCTTCACCAAATATCATTTTAATATTCTGACTTCATTGACTGAATTCAAAGATAAAAAAACTATGATTTTTTTCAGAGAAAAACAAATAAAGCTCAAAAATATTTTTTAAATGAAAATTTTAGAAATGAAATGGTTTAAAGTTAATAATTTTATTGTTTATTCAAAAGCTCAATATAAGTTATTCTGAACTAAGCAGGCATTATATTCCAATTGTTAAAGGAGCAAATTCAATTTATATTATTTTTATCAATTATTATATTACTTTGATAAAAAATATAAGGGAAAATATTCTGAATATAATTTTTTATATTTTGGAATGATTTCAATCAGCACCCGAAACAAATACATTAAAAAAAATCAAAAGTCCTGATTCATGAACAAAGTTTGCCTAGTTAATAGTTATCAGCCTCAGAGAAGTCATGCTGATTTGATGATTTTGATCTATTTGAACTAGAGCACCTAAGTATTTTATTCCTCATATCTTTTCATACAACCTTTATATCAAATAGTTACATAACAGTTGTTTTAGTAAAAATCAAACAGGAATTTTCTTTACATTTCACAATTCTGTGCTGTGAAATGTCAAAGGGGTTGGAACTAACATGGTTACCTTCTGTATTAGAATCTCAACTGCTACTTCTTCCCTGCCAGGGAATATCAGAAGGCAGAGGATTGATAAGGAGAAAGAATGCTTATCTTTCTGACTAACCAAATGTTTCCATCAAAATTCTTCCAAATTTTTTTCTTCAAGAGATCTGTACCAGGTCCTACCATATGTTCATGCTAGAATCATGACTAGGAAACCAATAAAATCTACAGTTCTCCTCTAAAAATAATCCCTTCTTCTATTAATTCATAATGATTTCTGATATAATAAATCATTCTAGCCTGAGAGTTTATTTTTTACTATGGTTCAGGGCATCTTGTCATTTTGATAAAAATTCAGTCTTGTAAGAATACTTAAACACTTGTCTACTGCAATAGGAGGGTCCTCAACAATGATGCATGGTGTTTTAGAAATTCTATTGCCTATTTAATACATGTATTAGGAGAGCTTCATTTCAACACTTTCCTTTTTTTCTACAAAATTGTTTATTTTTGCTGGTATTCTCCTTAAGTTATTTTAATGTCTATTGAGAAATAGCAAAAGTTGTTTCTGATCTAAAAATGTGTACAAAATTTCTACAAAATTCAATTCGGCAACTCTAAGGTATAATCACAATACTTCTCCGTTTCACTTCCACTGATGCATGGATGTGTATAACTTCCTCCGTTATCCAGTTACAGAGGATACAGGAAAGCTTGGATTTTAGCACAGTCAACAAAATACCTTCTTTATAAAATGTCAGTCATTAAATGAATGAACTAAATGTATTTTCAAGTAATAGATGGGAATTAGGAATAGATTCTCTTTCTCTCTTTTGCTCCTTCTCTCTCCCCCTCCCCCCCCCTTTTAGCACCAATAGGAGGTGCTAAATGACACTGCTTCTCCTCCATTTAGACACGCATTTTGAATACGAAATTGCAGAAAGTTACAATTCAGTCTTACCTCATCTTCAACATCAGATGAACTGCTGGAAGAATCAGAGCTTGATGAGGAAGAGGAAGATGGAGACAACTTGACCAAAGACAACAAAACATAAATTTGTGAGATGCAGAATTTGTCAACAGAATAAATTAACCCCATGCCCCTCAAATTTATGGATATTATCCAAAGCTGCATCACCTGCATTTAAAAACCAATATTTAACACTCATAATAAAAATCCTTTCCCCTTTAAACAAGCTATATACATCTATCTTAGGTCTTAGGTGTTGAAAAACAAATGAAATCTTTGCTCACCCTACTGGATTTCTTCTTCTCTTTTTTCTTCTTCTAAAAAAAGGATTTCCCCCCATTAATATGTTTGAACGAAGTTAACATTTTTGAAATGTATTCTATTATAACAGCCAACAATAATGCAATTAAAGCAAAAACTATTGCAACAGGAAAATTTCAAATCCATAGTTATGCATGGAATGCATATATAGGGGCATTTACCTCTTTCTTTCTTGAAGTGCTCTCATTTCCACTTAATAATTTCTCTCTATGTTTTTCAAGTTCTTTTTTCCAGTTCTGAAAAACAATTGAAACAATTATGAGTATTTTTCAAGTACCCTTTGGATTACCTTAATGGTCACTAACTTATAAGAGCCATTTCTAAGATGGGAAATTTGTTTGAAATAATTAAATTTGAATGCTATATCCAGTCTCCTGGAAAATCCCATTGAATCCATTCATTCATTTATACAATTTATACTCTGCCAGATTCCTGTTCCCTTTTTAATAGGATTGTACTACTAGGCTTCATTATAGAGGTAATCAGTACTGCAACTTAGTCCCTTATAATTTGTTGAAAGCCACAGAAAGAATTAGGAGAAACATGCGTTATTGTTTCTGTATCTTACATAGAACAGCTTTTCTCATTGTGCTAAAACTATCTTTTTTAATCTGGAGGATTAATATGCTTGTAGCCAATATTAAGTACTTGAGGTTCCTAAAGTTCAATCACTATTAATAGATGAATATCCAACCACATGTTTATTAATCATTATCAATATTAACAATAATTAATAAACCATATTAATAATATTGACATTATTAATCTTGGGTGTGCTATTAATATTAACATTATTAATCAATGAAAGGCAACATGGTAGAATATTGGTTTTTACTGCTAATCACATGTTTGCATTGGATCAGTATCTTTTTAAAAAAATATTTTTATTAACAAACGTAAAATATACACACACAAAACTTAGACATACACCACATTTACACATACAATACGAACAGGAACTTCCTGTTCTTTATAATAGCAATTATCAATCGATTCCGCTCACCTTATATTATTTTTCTTCTATTGTATTTCATTTGGATTTCACCATTCTTAACCCTCTTATTTTACTCATAAGTATTATTTTTTTGAGTTTTGTTGTATTCCTTCATTGATTCTTGTTTCTTTCCTCCATCCACCTATACCATTTATCCCATATCTGGTAGAATTCTGATTCTTCTTTTCCCTGGATTTCTTTAGTTAGTTTGTCCATTTCAGCACAATCCATAACCTTTCTTATTATTTCATCTTCACTTGGAATTAATTTGTTTTTCCATTTCTGGGCAGAGGCAATCCTTGCCGCCGTAATTATATGTAGTATTAAATACTGGATTTCTTTTTTGTATTTCGCAGACATTATTCCTAATAAAAAAACTTCAGGTTTCCATTCTATTTTAACCCCTGTTATTGTCTTCAGCCAATTTTTGATCCTTTTCCAAAAAAATTTAGCCTCCTCACAGGCACACCATAAATGGTGATATGTTCCGTGTATTGATTCGCATTTCCAACATTTTGGGGAGGTATTTGTTAAGATTTTAGCTAACCTTGTTGGTGCCAGGTGCCATCTGTAAAACATTTTGTACTGGTTTTCCTTGTATGCAACTGATAGTATCATTTTTAAGTTTGTTCCCCAAAATTTTCCCCATTTGTCTAATTCAATATTATAGCCAAAGTTCTGCGCCCATTTTATCATTTGTTCTTTCACAATTTCCTCTTCCATTTTATACTTCAGGAGGAATTTATATATTCTCCCTATCATCTTTCTATCTGGGCTTTTATCCAATTTGTGTGGTTCTGTTTCGATGTCATATAATTTAGTATCTTTATTGTATTTAGTTTTGATTTGGAAGTAAGTTAGCCAGTCAACTTTCATGTTCTGATCTGCCAATTCTTCAATTGTTTTTAAATTTCCCTGTCTATCAATTAAGTTGCTGTATCTTAGCATTTTGTTCAAATCTATAAAATTTGGGTGAGCTGTCCTTTCTGTCGGTGATAGCCAATTCAAGATTTTCACATAGTGGATTTTTTATTTTATTCTGAGCCATTTTTGCAATAACGCTCTTCTGATTAAATGATTTTGAAAGTATTTGTGCATTTTATTTTTATCATCCCATAGGAATGTATGCCAGCCTGCTTGCAGATCATGGCCTTATAAGGTCAACATTCTTTTATTCTTTAGCTCTATCCAGTCCTTCACCAATGTTATTGTTACTGCTGATGCATATAAATCCCAATTTGGTAATGCTAAGCCTTTCCTCTTCTTGCTAATTTGCATTGACTTTAGTTTAATCCTCGCTTTTCGTCCCTGCCAAATGAACCTAGCGGTTATATTGTTTAATTCTTGAAAGAATTTTTTACCCGGATTAATAGGTGCGGCTTTCAATAGGAATAGGATTCTTGGTAAAATATTCATTTTAATTGTCGCTATACGTCCCATGAGTGATAACTGAATATTTTTCCAATTTTCTAAATCTTTCTTTATTTGTATCACTAATTTATTATAATTATCATCTTTAATTGTGGAACATTTTGCTGACACCCAGATCCCCAAGTATTTCACTTTCTTAGTTATTTGCATTCTGGTTGCTACTTCCAGTTCTTCTTCTTGCTTTTTTGTCATGTTCTTGGTTATCATTTTTGTTTTGTCTTTATTGATCTCCTGCCACTTCGCCATATTCTTCTAATTTTTGAATTAATTTCAGGCTGGATTCTAATGGGTCCTCTAGAACAAATACTAAGTCATCGGCATAGGCTTGGCCTTATATTTTTCATTTTTGAGTCTTAAACCTTTTATTCCATGGTCCTTCCGAATTTCATTTAATAAAATTTCCAAAGTTAATATAAACAGCAAAGGAGACAGGGGTCATCCCTGCCTGACTCCTTTTTTCATTTCAATCTTCTCTGTTAGATCTCCATTCATCAGAACTTTGGCTGTCTGAGTGTTATAAAATCCTTCTATCATTTTTACAAATTTTTCTCCAAATTTCATCTCGTCCAATAGTGTTATTATAAATTTCCAGATTATGTTGTCAAATGCTTTTTGTGCATCAAGGAAAACCAGTACCATTTGTTTTTCTGGATGCACATCGTAATACTCTTATTATGTCTAGGATGACTCTCGTATTATTTTTAATGTGTCTGTGAGGTAAAAATCCATTTGGTCCGGGTGTATTCATTCATTTAAAACCTGTTTAATTCTTCCTGCCATAATTGCTGCAAATATTTTATAATCGGAGTTTAGTAATGAAATTGGCCTGTAATTTTGAATTTCTTGTAGGTTGGTTTCTTCTTTTGGGATTAGTGATATTATTGCTTCTGGATCAGTATCATTTGATGCATCTACATAAGAAGCAATTAACTCTAAACTATCTATTAGTATAAAACTGAAATTGCATTAGCATTATGTTAATACTACTACTAATAATACAGGTATAAAATCTAGGCTTATCTCTACATTAATCAAATAACAAACCTCATTCATTCTTTCTTCAAATTCTGCTAAGGCCTTTGAACCTTTCTTCTTCTTTTCTAGTTGTTCTTTTACTTCTTCCCTTTAATGAAAAAAATACATAACTTGTAACTGATACCGGTACATAAGTTTAGATCTGAAAATATTAACTTAGAAGTTCTTGATGCTCTCTGAACTTGGTGGGTTTTTTCTAGACATTTCATTACCAAACCATATAACATCATCAGTACAGATATAGATTTAAAGAAACTGAAAGAAAACTTGGTCTCTTTCTCTGTTTGTGCACTTCAAGTGAAACTGTGGTTTCATGCAACTGTGGTTTCATTCATGAAGAATGTGATTTCTGTCAACTGGAAATCTGCAAAAAGCTTTGTGAAACACATCCAGATCTACATTCCAAAATTGGGCAAAAACAGTAATCTTAAGGGGTGGAATCATAAATTTAAGGGATGAAATTTTATTTACTGAATTTATAAGGGCTACCCATCTCACATGCGCAACTCTGGCCAACTAACCATAAATTATGTAGTTGAATTTCCCTCACTTGGGGAAACTGCAGGGGACAGTTCACCTGGAATGAAATTGGTGAGCCTCACCCTTTAAAACTCCACCATCGAGGATTTTGGTAAAAGCCTTAATGCATTTGTAAGTCTTAAAGAGTTTTATTTTTCCCCAAAAGACAAAACATAAAACATGACACAAATTTGGGACCTATCCACATTTGGATGAGTGCTAGAAGCCAGAAACAGGGTGGTAGCCCACATGTGGACCTCAAACTTCATTTTTCATTTCCTGATTTAATATCATATGTGAACTAGTCCATTAATTTGGGGAACAGATATTATATTAAGGCAAACTTTACTACTTCTCTTTCTTAACAAAGTAATCTTATAAAAGGAATAAAGTGATCATTTGTAGCATACCATGTTGGTCTTGGTCTGTTCAAGTAATCTTGTATCGTAGGTCCTGAAGATGGAGCAGGACCTCGTGATCTAGCCATTGCTATGGGATTCATATATGCCTTAAATATGACAAAGAAAGAGTGAGAACTTTAAATTATTCCAATCTGAAATCTCAAAAATAGCTTTTTTTTCTTTTAATTTTCAAAAATGATATATTGTCATTTAGCCCATCTACATAAATTACCACCGATAGAATTTTTAATATATTGGAAAGCGACATTACTGAGACAATATATTTTGAGGGCTTCACTTTTTGCTGATGTATCCTCCTTCCTCTCCAACTATTATAAAAAGCTAGTATTTAAATTAATATATTTACTGTCACATTTTTATATATAAATAAAATGTATTATATTTATATAAGTAAAAAAAATCTCTCAGTTATTAATGAAATACACTAAGTTTCATATGGTTACGGCATTTGGGGTATGCTGGGATATTTCTTACTCTTAATTTGCCTCAGCAAAAGATGTGTACAATTGAACTGTGGGAAATCATTCTGCTAAAAAAATGAGTGGAACTAACACAGAAGATTATCTAATACTGTAATATTTAACATCTTATGCAAGGATAGCAACAAGATAAATATCCTTATGGTACCATTAAGACTAATAAATTGATTACTAAGCTTGCTAAGAGAATAAGGTATATAAGAGACAGAATGAATGTTGTGCCTACATTTCCTTTCACTTATGTTACTACATCATTTTTGATGACCTTTTAAAAACTAGTTACATTCTTAAAACATGGGACCTAATTAAATAGTATCATATATGAAATGAAAGCTGGAGAGGAGATGACTAATTTATTATAGCATAAAATGAGAAGGGTGTAGACAACCACTCCTGTATCATTACCTCCTTTTCAAATCTCTCACATATTTCCTACCTCCCTATGCAATCCGAAACATACATTTTCATTGTTAGAAACCTTCAGTGAAGAACAGTTTGTAGTAAAATAAAAGAACAGAAAATATTCAATATTGCCATCTCTTAATTTATTTTTTTAATTAAAAAGACAGTAAAAGAACTATTACCATATTGATTTTTAATGAAGCTATTGTATGCAAATGCAATCTTGGAAACATACATTTATATTCAGGCATGCATATCTAGGGCATACTATTATCTACAGATTTAATATAAGGTTATCATTAAACTTATGAGAAATCACGCTTTTTTCTATCAATTCTATTACTTTACCCATAAGGCATTCATTATTTAATATAGACTTATTGTTTCCTACATACATTGTTAACATTTAGCATGTTTGACCCACTAGTCATTTAATATGAGTAGTTTGTGGATTCTACACAACTGGATTCTGCTATGGGCCTTGGTAAGCAATCAAGTTTCTTTGCTTTCTTTTTTTTTTTTTCATCTTTTTTCTGACTGAAATAAAATAGCCTCAAAGTGACCCTTGAAAGCTAAGGTATAAACAAACAATTTGAAGTTTTATTTTAGACAGATTTTTACTTATACAAAATTAGTCATCAAGCTGCCTATAAAACATCTCATTTATAATATTAGCATACAAATCTTTATTTTAAAGTGGCATGTTTTATAATGGATTTATTACTGCCTCTATTTATTCAAAAAACAAAGGTTATTCACAGAGAGAAATAAGAAACTCCCCCCCAAGTTTTAATATTTCACTGACAGCATACTAAGTTTGCTAAGTGCTTTTCTGGTCCTAAGAGCAACAAATTATCATCCAATGAGATGCAGTTTTTACTTAGGACAAATATAATTAGTCATTTTTTTGTCTTCATTGTATTCTTAGAAGTTTAACAAGAGCAAGGAGCATAGTCTCTTCAAACTGGCAAATAAGGATGAACACTCACCCCCCCTACCCTAAAAAGCACAACTCAATAGACAGATGTCTTTAGCACTTTTAGCTTTCCACTACTCTTTTGGATAGATCTTACTGCTTTCTATATAAGTGTGTCCCTCAAGTCTACCTAAACAATCTATACATTTTGATGTGATTCTTAATATATTATTGTAGGGGTGTGCATAAGCGCAGCAGTGTGCCTAACATCCATGTCCTACTGTACCCATTTATTTGCACTTATTTCCTGTGTTCTCATTCATGTTCATTCTTATTCCTGTTATCTTGTACATGAGTGACAAATTAAAGAAATAAAATCAGTTCATCTGACAGCACAAAACAAAACAAAAACCACCAACATGAAAAATACGAAGAAACAATGGACGTAAGTTTTTAAATGCAAAAACCAGGACACAGATTAATTTATAATTAAGGATCTAATGCTGAGAAACACACACACACATACACACTCCATGTAAGATTAGACAATGTCCTTATTTTTTTAAAAAAAATACCAGGTTACTTTTCAATCTCATCACATAATTGAGATGAAAAACTCACCACATGTACAGAGGGGCCCAACTTACTACTTAGCTTTCATGGCAAAGGGAGAAATGCTTAATGTATAAAGCCCCCCCCCCCCAAAAAAAACCACAGACACCTACCTTTCCCCCATTCAAACGACTACCAAGCCCATGACAATCAGAACTATTTTTAGTAGCTCACCCCTTTTGTCAATGCAATGGGGAAAGATCTGCAGGATGTCTGTGACAGACACTGGTATTCCCCCCACGTATACTCCGCTACCCACCCCACCCCCCACCCCCCACCTTCAAAGGTGGTCGCATAACCACCGCCTCCCTCTGAATCCTTCATCCCCACCCAGGCCAGAAGGAGAGGCGCCCCTTCTTCTAAACCTTTGCCGTTTCGATCGCGCTTCTAAGGAGAGAGAGTTAGTTTACGCACCACCCGGTTATCCCTCTTCCCCATGGCGGGCAGGAATCCTGGAACCCCAGCAACGAAAACCAAACCGGCCTAGCTGGAGCCCCTTTCTCTGCTACCCGTCAAGTTTTTACCATCAGATACTACGGAGCATGCTCAGTGACACCGAACATGCTCAATGGCAGCCATTGAAGCCACTTGCCCTTCCTTGTTTGCCCTCACAAGGAGAACGAAAGGGATGTAAGAAAGAAGTCGGAGTTCAGTTTTGTGCTGCTGTAGTACGATTTCCTCCCCTTTTAAAAAAATATTTAACTTCGAGGCTAATCTTTAAAGAGTTAAAATATTGTATGAAGTAAATATAAGAGAATGAATGCGACCGCAATAAGGCGAGAGGGCCCCCCGATTGCCAAAATTGTGGGGGTAGGACGCAATGTTCATTTGTTCTCGTTTTGTTTTGTATATTCGCGGGGGATTCAAAAGAGAGCTCAGGTCTGTAAAATGAACATCTACACTTCCCATGACGCTGGATGTAAAATAATAAAAATGTTTACGTAAAAAGCAAGGATCGTATCACATCATGTATCTTTGTAATGAGGATATACGGTAAAAAATTTAATTAGGTAAGGATCTGGAAATAAGTAAACAACCTGAGCTGTGAGCAAAACTAATAGCAGTGTTTCCCAATTTAAAACTTTTGAGATGTGGGGAATTTGTTTCCCAGAATTGCCCAGTCAGTTTGTTCACTGGAGAATTCTGGGAGTTGAAGTCCACATAACTTAAAAAGTCTTGAGACTGAGAAACACTCATTTAAAAGGATGCTTTCTAACACCCGTTGAAGCAAGATGGGTAGGCATCAGCTTCTTTCTGTACATCTAGGGAGACATAGAGAGTGGGATTAAGAATAAGATATTTTCCACATTTCAAGATATTTCTGAATTATAGACTTTAACTTTCCTGTTCTCTACCAAATGCAAATATTTAAAAGGAAAAGTTGAGGGCATTGGGTAGGATTAACCTGGAGAAGACTGCAAGGAGACATGATAGCAGTCTTCAAATATCTGAAGTGCTGTAATATAGAAATGAAGAATTGTTCTAATTATTTCATAAGAAAATAAATGCTGTAATACATTTGAAGTACAAGAAAGTTGATTTCCATTAGAAATAGATACATTTTAAAAATAAGATTTTCTGAAACTGATTGTTTTGACAGGTGATGGTTTATCCATTCATGAAAGGAGTTTAAACAGAAACTGGTATAATAATGGATTGCTGTATTAGTGGGTGTGGGGTTTGGACTAGATAATCTTAAAGATCCTTACAAAAATATGGTTATTTGTTCTATGACTTTATGAATTCTGACAGGGAAATGTCATAGGCATTTAATGGTTTGATTTTTGAAGCTCTTGACAATTCCTTTTCAGAAGCTTCCGAGTAAAAATGGCAGTCACAAACTATTTGGAAATCATTTTAAGGATTTATATTCCTTGCATACAGCTAGCCATTTGCATCCTTTTAGAGGGCCCTTGAAGATCTTGGAGGTTTATCTGTGTCCTCAGGTCACCTGAGAAGTGCTACTGGTTCCTGTAGTCTGCAGTTTATCCTCTGGAAATCCATTCCTACTCCCACACCATTCAGAGTGTTCCTCCAAAATTGTATACCTAAAAGTCTATAGAGATTCTCAGTTATTTGGGTTTGGTTCCATCCAACCCAACAATACAGGTTAATTCTCCCAAGAAGCTTTCACAACTTGATTCTATGAATGTCAAAGAAAACAAATTTATATTAAACAAACAGGATATTTCATGTAAGTGGACAAATATGTACCTAAAGCCCAGGTCCAAGCAGAGTGGGCTTTTTATAAACTTAGAGTGTTCAAGTCTGATAAATTCAATATTTCCAGATATAGAGATAGCCTTTTAGATATTGATCTGAGGGCTCCAATCAAATTGGTATGACAAATTTCTTTTTTCCATAAGTGTTTAAATTTGACCTCTGAGTCTCAGAATTTGTAATTTTTTCCCATTGTTGTTCCTCAATCCCAGCATCATCTAGTATAGCAACATCAATGAACCAAACTTTTTTCTTTTCAATAGCTATTATATCAGGCATTTATTAAGATCATTTGGACTTAAAGTTCCATAAGATCTTAACCACTCATTATTAGTAGTATTTTATCCCAAGTTTTTAACATATCTAACACTTCTTTGTCCTATTTTCCTTGCAACAGCGTGTGACTGACCCGGAGTCATCAAGCAAGCAATCGCGCCCTCTATTTTTTAAATACCCAGGGTTTGAATCTTATATTTTTCTTATAAGATATATATATATATATATTTCAGCCTTGGATATAGCGGACACTTGCATATTTTTTAGTCTTTTGAAATGGAAATAGCTACATCATAGTTTACTAATAGTTCTGTCTAGTTTCAGGTTTCTTAATTTTGCAAGCTTCAGCCTTTACAATACCAGCTCCAGTACTCAGTGATCTGGAAAGTAGCAGCCTTTTGGAAGGTGCTTCCCACAAACACTGAACTGATGTAGTAGGGCCAAGGGTCAGTAGTTTGATGGTCTCGAGTTTGTTAACTTCAGCTTTAGTTCTTTATTTTAAATTTTTGTATAAAGTTAATGCAGAACACAGCCCACCCATGATAATTATTACACTGCACTAAGATGCCTTCTCATGAATATTACAAGGTATTTTTCCAAATGATATAAAGATAGCTTTTAACAGCATTTGCTACAATAAGAAAAAAATAAATAGGCCTTTTTTGGGGGGAAGATAAAAAATATGCAGTATCAGATTTAAAACTACTGTTTCTTTAATAACTGTAGAAAGTTGAAATTAATTTCAGATTATTCTCAGTACTGCAAGGCTTGAAAAATATAACAATGAGACACCACCTTCCCCTTTATGACATTTGATGTCATATGCAAGTAATCCCCAGTGGGTGGCAGCACCTACTATTGGCAGATTTTGAAAATAAAATGCTCAGAAAGATCAGGTGAGTGCTTAGATGGGAGTGCACACATCCTATGTCAGATGATACTGAACATTCTCAGGAAAAAGACAAAAAACATATCATTTCTGTCGTATGTCAAGAAACCTCCATAAGCACAGCTGCAATTTTTTGGATTCCAGCGATTAAACTTTTTTTATTTAGCATAGCTAATGAAGAGGATAAGGGTCAACCTGCTTGAGAAGGGGATTGGAAGAGAAGATTTCCAAGGTCCTTTCCAACTCTATTATTCTGATAATTAGTTTTTTTATACTATCTGCAGCCAGGCAAGTCTCCTTCCGTGGCTCCAAGGTGCTAACAGCCCTCTACTTGAATATAGAGAGACGATACCAAGAACAGCGTGCTATAAATGTGAATGGACACTCGAACGTCAGTAATCATGAAACTTAGATACAGCATTGGGCGCCGTGAAAAAGACCGCGATCCCGGAATGGAGATGGGTAGCCACCTTCCTGAATTCCTCTACCTGCTGCAGTCCAAGGTAGGAAATCAGCCCGGGTGGCAAATGTAGAAAGCAGTTCTGGACGCCCCTGAAGGAGACTCTCGCCGCGGATATTTGAATTCTCCCGCCCGCCCCCAACATAATCGTTGAATTATCCACGCCACGGCCAGGTACCAGAATCAGCCACCTTAAGAAACAACAGAAAGTCGCGACTTTTGGACTCTCATCAGACCGGCGGAACTATTGTTCCGGCTTCCGCTTCCCTACCGGGCACTTTTGGAGGTTGGTATGTGTGAAGCCTGATTGGATGCCCGGCCTTTTTACCCTTGCTGTGATTGGATAAAGTGCCACGGCTCCACTTCGTTCTCTCGCCGAGTTCTTCATCTATTGTTACCGCCTTTCCTTTGGATTGCTATCAGCACTTGCGGGAGAGGGGGTGGCGGGGGAGGAGAGAAGGGACTTGGATGACGGTTTGAAGAGGCGGCAGAGGCTTCGGAAGTGAAGATGGCGGCGGTTGATGGTGGTGAAGGCGATCGCGGGGACGACGTTGGTGGCGTCTGTCGGCATCACGCACCGCAGACGATACGTGCATCGCTCGCTAAGTATCGTGGAGGCCACGAGCCATGAAGGTAAAGGAGAAGGAGATATCTAGAATAGAATAACTTTATTGTCACTTTGAATGTGCACTAATCGGCATACATTAAAATGATATTTCGTTGCATACAGCTCTCACCATCTCCCATATACACTACATAAACATGACACAATGCATAATTTGGCATATACTCTATGACACAGAGGAACAACACAGTCTAGTCTGGATGTGTACATGTACATGGTGAGAGAAACGAATCTTGTGAGTTTACCAGAGGGAAGGTGTAGGGAACAAAGCTGTTACAGAACCTGGAAATCTTGCTAGAAATACTTTGAGGGGAGGGGAGCAAACAGAAACAGACCATGAAGTGCTTATAAGCAGTATCATTAATGACAGGAAGCAAGTTTCCCATAATCTCATCACCTGTCCTTATCACTTCTGAATGGATTTTCTATCTGAGACACTGCTATCACCAAACCAAACAACAATGCAGTTTATTAAAACACTCTCAATTGTGCCTCTATAAAAAAGTGTCCATGACAAAAGGAGAAAGATGTGCTGTCCTCATCCAACGCAGAAAATGCAGAAACTGAGATTGAGTTGTCTTTAACATTGAGTATCATGTATTCTCTCTTTTAGGACAGCCAAAAGAAAGCTAGATGAGCAGAATTTCTCTGGCAGTTTGCTACATTGATACCATGCTCCAGAATTTGAAAGTGTACAAGAGACCAGAAACAAACTAAGAGACAGGTGAAAATATATATAGCAAAAGCAGCCAATTGCAAAGGTTTGTGGCTTTTATTATTTTTAATCAATAAATGGCAAGAGCAAACAACTTATGTAATTTCCCCAAAAATCCAATATTAATTTGCTAAGAGTGTTATCAGAAGCAAAACTCAACTCAAGAATACATTTACTGTTTGAAAAGTTATATTATTTGCTTTTATACTCTAACATTAATACATTGTTTGCACTAACATACTACATTTTTGTTGTTTTTTTATTAAGAGCACTGGAGACAAAATAGGATTGTCATATACGTTCTTCAAAGATCAGGCAGTGGGATTGTGGATCAAGGACATCTAAGACAGTTGCTAGCAAATGGAATCAAGCAACATATACCCAGGACCTAATCTACCTTCCTGTTGCACATTAATACTGAAATATATTACATCTCCTTCAGAACAGCATTGCCAGAATCTCTAAGTAGCACCTCACTATTCTCATCACTATGCTACAAAATCAGCATACTTTAGCCAAAAGATAATAATGGATAAGAAACAACAGCAAAAAGTATATAACACATTGGTTTGTTGGAACCTAGAAAGAAAGGTTCCGTGTGATGAAGAACTTGGAAGATTCATGCCCCGAATTGCTCAACTTCTGGAACGAAAAAGGAGAAGAGATGAAGATAACAAACTTGCCCTTTGGGAAGAGAACATAATGCTCATGAAATTATTTTTGGCTCAAGGCTACTAGAAATACCTAAATAGATATGAAAGATAATTCACTGAACACTGCAGTAATCTTAATTCATAATAGACTAAAGAAGGTGGGCTAATAATTTTTCATTCAGTGCTGTGAAAGTATGTATTCTAACATCACATAGATTTGCATATATTAATTATTTATATGCTGCCTCTGTCTGAGACTTGACAACACAATAAAAGTAATGAAACAGTAATCGCAAAATACAGTAATCCCCAAAGTTGTAACATCACATAACATCTCATAAATGTATCAACCAACAAGCAGCTGAAACCAATCCTAAAATCAAATACCCCAAAGTAACTTCTCCAATGCCTCTGCAAAAGACGATTATCTTTATATCTTTTGTGTTTGAATCAAAGTTTCTGATATAATGTGGAGGTTATTCAAATTATTCAAATCTTACTGAATCTCAAGTTCCTGGAAAATTTAAAACAATTCTGGTTTCAACCAAAATATAGAAATTTCATAACTTGTAAACATAGCATATAGAATGACATAAACATCTTAATAGTTGTGCTATGTTCTCCTTTTTTAAAAGTAAAACAGGGTTGAACATGGTTAGCATTTAGATGGTCACTAGAAAATACCAGGGCTATGGGTTAGACTGAGAAGTTGAAAGATACCCCAGAAGTCAATAACAAATCATTTCCATATTCACATATGAAAATCTCATGGAGTAAAACCTAACTCCCAAGGATTTTATATTTTACACCAGTGGTTCTCAACCTTCCTAATTCTGCAACTAATATAGTTCCTCATGTTGTGGTGATCCCCAACCATAAAATTAGTTTTATTGTTACTCTATAACTTATTTTTACTACTGTTATGAATCGTAATGTAAATATTTGATATGCAGGATGTATTTTTATTGTTATAAGTTGAACATAATTAAAGCATAGTGATTAATCACAAAAACAATATGTAATTATATTGTGAAATATTTATTTATAATTACAAATAAATGAAATTTTGTCTTGAAGCATGGTGTAATTTTGGTTTTTTTTGCCTAAGTGTTAAGACTTTACTTTACTTCTACTCCCCTCTTATTTGGGGCAGCCCCTCAGATATTGGAAGACTGCTATCATATCACCCTTAAATCCTTATTTTCATTCAACCAGACATACCCAGTTCCTGCAACTGTTCTTCATATGTTTGAGCTTCCAGTCCCCTAATCCTCTTGGTTGCTCTTCTTTGCACTTTTTCTAGACTAGAGTCTCCATATCTTTTTTATAGAGGTGGACAACCTCGGCTGCTATACAATCATACACACGGAGACACACAGTGGCTTTATTCCCACAGCCTCCTTAACTAAGTTGCCTGCAGCTGCATTCACAAACTTGCTTACCCTGCCTGGATGGATCTTCAAGCTAGTTTGCGGTTGTTTGCAGAAGTGCTCTTAACCTTGGTGGTGGTGGTGGTAAGCTTAACCTTAATTTATTGGGCAAACGTCGTGCATTGTTTATTTTTAATTTTTTT